TTCTAACATTGGGTCTTTGCACATTTCATTATAATAATTGACTTTGTCTTCTCGAGATGCTCTTTATCATTTCTTCATTTGCTTTAGCTACTCTCCATTCAACAGCAAGTTTCAGAGTCTCTTCTGACATCCATTTTGGTCTTTTCTTGTCTTTTTTAATGACTTTTTGCTTTCTTCATGCATGACGTTCTTGATGTCATCCCACAATTCCTCTGGTTTTTGGTCACTGGTGTTCAAATGCATCATATCTATTCTTCACATGGTCACATGGTCTCCATATTCAGCAGGGATGTAATTAAGGTCATAATTTGGCTCTCATGGACTCCTTTTAATTGTCAGTTTCAGCTTGAACTTGCATATGAGTAATTGGTGTTCTGTTCCACAGTCAGCTCCTGGCCTTGTTTTGGCTAAAGATACTGAGCTTCTCCATCGCCTCTTACCACCTATGTAGTCAATCTGATTCCTGTGTAGTCCATCTCACAAAGTCCATGCGTATGGCCGCCATATGTGTTGTTGCAAAAAGGTATTTGCAATGAGTAAGTCCTTGGTTTTGCAAAATTCTATCATGTCATCGGCGTTATTTCTATCACGAAGGCCATATTTTCTAACTACTGGTGATTCTTCTTTGTTTCCAACATTTGCATTCCAATCACCAGTTATAATCAATGCATCTTGATTGCATGTTTGGTCAATTTCAGACCCCAGAAGTTGGTGAAAATCTTCAACTTCCTTCTCTTTGGTTTTGGTGGTTGGTTCATAAATTTGAGTAATAGTAGTATTAACTGCTCTTCCTTATAGGCATATGGATGTTATCCTATCACTGACAGCATTGTGCTTTAGGATAGATTTTGAAATACTCTTTGTGATGGTGAATGCCACACCATTCCTCTTCAGTTTGTCATTCCCCGCATAGTAGATCATGTGGTTATCTGATTGGAAATGGCCAAACGAGTCCATTTCAGCTCACTAATGCCTAGGATATCGATCCTTATATATTCCATTTCATTTTTGACAACTTCCACTTTTCCTCGATTCATACTTCATCCATTCCATGTTCTGATTATTAATAGATGTTTGAACTGTTTTTTTCTTATTTTGAATCGTGCCGTATCAGCAGATGGAGGTCCCAGAAGCTTTGCTCTATCCACATCATTAAAGTCAGCTCTACTCTGACGAGGCAGCGCTTCCTCAGTCGTATCTTGAGTGCACTCTGACCTGAGGGGCTCATCTTCTGGCACTACATCAGACAGTGTTTTAGGGCTATTCATAAAGTTGTCCAGTTATGTATCAGACAGTATTTCACTGCTCATACGGTTTTCACTGGCCAATTCTTTGAGAAATGGATGGCCTCTTCCTTCTTCCAAGTCTGTCTTATTCTGGAAGTTCAGCTGAAATCTGTCCACTGTGGGTAACCCTGCTGGCATTTGAAACACTGGTTGCAAACTGACAGACAAGTTCATCTCCCTTAGCTGTTCCAAACCGTTCCATTCATTTTCTGGTCTCCCTTAACTTTTCCAAACCACACCAGCTCACTTTCTGGTCTCCTTTTGCTGTTCCAAACCACCGGCTCACTTCTGTTCAGTAGCTGCTTTTCTCATTGCGCTGCTTACCTATTAAAATACTAGCTCCTGATGTATGGGAATGGAGAATATTGTGCTTATTTTCCCATTGTAATCTTTCATCCTCTCCTCTTCAGGATGTTTGTACAGCGCTATTAATTACAGCCTTCAATTCCCTGGCCTGGAAGGATACTCTGTCCTGCCAGAGGACAACCACACAGCTCTGCTGGCCTCTCCTCAAACAGGTATGGTTATTCACCCCTTCTCCCCATCCCTTATGAAAGCTTTGGTCATGAGAATTGACTGAATGAATTAGAAGAATTGGGTACATTATATTTCTGGGTCTTCAGAGAGTCTCCTTTGGCTCTGAGCACAGCTGTCTTTCTAGGTGCTATCAGGGACACTGCTCGCAGATGCCGTTACGTGGCTTTTCACCAGCGTGCTGAAAGGCTTACAGACGCACGGGCAGCACGATGGGTGCATGGCTTCCCTGGTCCACTTGGCCTTCCAGATATATGAGGCACTGGTGAGTGAAGGAGAGACGAGCAAGAGAAAGTATGGAGGCAGGATGGCTGTGGCTTTATCCCTCATGGCTTACTCCCAATCATTTGGGCCTTATCCTCAATTTAGGCATCTGCCAGATTGCTAGTGCTGCCCCTGAGGGGTGGGTGTATCAGGGCCCACACCTATTATTGAGTGAGTTTATCCCCCATTGTCAGCGCCCTAGGTACCTGGAGATAAGGGCTGTGATGGAACAGATCCCTGAAATACAGAAGGACTCTCTGGACCAGTTTGACTGCAAGCTTTTGAACCCCTCCCTACAGAAAGTGGCTGACAAGCGCCGGAAGGACCAATTCAAACGCCTCATTGCTGGCTGCATCGGGGTAGGTGATCCCCAGTGCGCCTTTGTTAGTGTTCTCAATTGCTCTGTGTATATGGGACGGACCAGAAACCAGCTGTAGTTGACCATTGTGGTGGGGTGATCTTTAAAAACAGCTGACTACTTAGGGCCCAGCATTTGTTTTTTCTCGTTTGTTTTCCACAGAAGCCCTTGGGAGAACAGTTCCGAAAAGAAGTTCACATTAAGAATCTCCCCTCACTTTTCAAAAAAACAAAGCCAATGTTGGAGACAGATGTGCTGGAAAATGAGGAGGGCGTCCTGGCCACTATCTTTGAACCCTGAATCAAGCTTTTGGGCATCCTTCCTTGGCCTTTCTCATCATCTCTTCTTTCCCTTCTTAGCTACTATCTAGGCCCTTCTCCACTGCCACCTCACTTCCCCCATTGTCAGCCTGGAGAGAGATCCAGGTCTGAAGTTGGAGAGAGTGGGCCCTCCTGTTCAGGGCCAGAAGTAACTACACTGAAGTATCAAGAAAGGGAGTTAGGGCTTCTGTCATTCTGTCTAGATCTCCTAGGTGTCTCCCATTCTGCTTGGAGTTTTGGCTTTTCCAAGAGAGAAAAGCTAAGAGCAGAGCAACCTTTCTTCCCGAGCCCTCCCCCTTGTGCAGAGTGGTACCTAGGGGTGCTGTACCCAACACTGCAACAAGCCAGGCTTACAGCAATGGTTCAGTCCTCAAATACTTGTGCCAGAGTTTCTCCTGGACCACTGTATACCCCACTGAGCCCTCTTGCACAGTGGGGCATGTCTGGGTCAGATGCCAAGTGCTGAACTGAATTTGGCCAGGTCTCATTTTCAGCAAGTATCTGGTCTCTGATGGGATCCATAGTGCAGGCTACTGCTAAGCTCTGGGCACAGTACCAAGTATAGAGCCTTCAAAGGACCAGGGCTGGACCAGGGCATTAGTGCTTTCTAGCTTTCCCTTTGGAGCTCACACATCTTGCCCTTTCACGAATGATTCCTTCATATGGTTTCTCTAGCCAGCCCCAGCATCCACTCAGGCACAAGAGCCACAGTACCCTATGTAGTGTTGTGTGGCGCCATTGGCATCCAAGGATGATCCAAACCTACTAGGCTACACCTGTGACAAGTAGCTAGCAAAGCCACAGGTCTCTCCTAGGTGAGTCCAGGTGCCTTCAAAAATCTCATGGTCTTTAAGGTCCCTCGTCACTTTTCCTGTGGGGCATTTCCCTAAGAACAGAACCTAAAGAAGGAAAAATGCCTTTGCAACGCAACCTGTTCTGTGAGTCTCCAGTCCATTTTAGAGGTCATTGGGAGGCTTGTAAGCATAGGAAAAGACCCTACCCCTGAAGTTCTTTCTGACACATAAGAGTATGTTAATGTGCTGTGCACCAAGACAAAGGCCTGTTGTCAGTCTAATCCACTGGCAGGACTTCAGAGGAGAGCCAAGTGGACTGAGGCTGTGTATGCTTTTAGTTCATACAGGTCCATAGGCAGGATAAGGGCTGGGAAGAGGCAGTGTGTCACTACTCCCTCTTCCTGGTACTGTGGGTTTCTCTGTTGATTGTGAAGGCGATCTCATGATGTGTTAACCCTCCCAATTTGATAGCTTCCTACTCTGTGTGGTTGGGGCGGTGGAGGGCATAGTTGTATTTATTGTGTTGTAATATTTTTAACATCCTGTGACTTCATGCTAGAAGTTTTCTATTGTTTATAGAACATTTTTGTAGAAACATTTAACTCTAAAGCACATCTGCATGTCAGTAAAAACCTCAATTTTATATAGAAAAGGTCCCATCTGCCTTTTTCCAACCAATCTTAACACCAATGACATACTTCAGGGTCATTACTCCTCATAAGCATCCTGCCAAAGGGACTGGCCAGGAGGAATGGTGACTGATGGATTTGTTTTGTTAAGTTCTCGGAAACAGTATGTCAGCTAAAAAAAGATTTCTATTCCTGACCTGCCTATAACAGGCAACTCATACCATTCTCACAGTGTGTATAGCAGATGGCTACTGGACCAGATAACTAACTACACAAGGGTATCGCTTGCTGTTCCCCTCATGTAGCTATTACCTGCAACGCGACTACCCTTTTTTCTATCAGGAATTTACCCCAGTAATCCAGTAGATAGCTAAAGAGTAGATTGACTATGGCTTCTTGAGGATATTTCTAGGGTATGGCTGTGCCCCCAGAAACCAGTTTGGCATTTCTCAAGAGGCTTTAGAATTGGCTTGGTCCTGACCTACAGTGACACCTGAGCACAACGTTCTTAATTGCTAAATCAACAAACCTGTTCTGAGGCTTCGCATTTTTGGACTAAAGTGATCTGACAAAACGATTTTTGTCTGTTTGACATGAATTTATTTACGTGAAATGCCTCACAAAGGTATAAAAGTCACTTCATGACACATTTAACCAAATGTATTGATTATGAAAATAAAACTAAAACTGTCTCAGGACCCTTAGTTACACTGGGCTCTGTACAATAGTATTGCAGGTGTAGGTCAGAACTCAACGTCTTCAGCTTGCCTAGGAGCATCCAAGCCCAGCTATTCCATTAAGTGTCTGGTGCAAACCTCAGTCCATCTGAACTGTATCTAGTTCATCCAGGAACCGCCGGCACTTTCCCATCAGGACTTTGATGGCTTCACTCACCAGCACGTCTGGTGGCAATACCCCTGTGGACTCGACAGAGACTGGGGGCCAGACAGACACTTTAGCCCAAGTAGGGCTTGCCTCTCTAAGTTATTGCTAAATTCCTTATCACATCTGAACTCTGAAATGAAGGTGCCCCATCAAAGAAACCCCCACCCCCTTCATTTGATCCACTCAAAATACTCACAGATGTAATGATCCCGAACTCGTGCCAACTGAACAACCTTCTTCAGCTTCTCATTCCGAAAGACTTCTCTGCTGAAGGTGTCCAGTCGGGGATTGGCAACTCTGGCCACCTTTTTACCTAATGAAAACAAGTCATGTTATACTTTGTCTATTGAAGCCCAAAGCTCTCTGTCTCTTCTGCTGTCTTCAAAGAAAATATACTATAGGTCCTGTCCTGAACAGCATCCCAAATAAGGTACCTTGAATTTCCTGCACCTCTATAACACCAGGTGAGAAGCACTGCCTCAGCTCCTCAGCTGCCTCTCCTTCCACAGGCTCAAGCAGGGTGATGTCCGGCAGGAGCCTGTAACTGGCTGTTGCTACAGGCGAAAACTTGGCATGATCTTTGCCTGGAAAAGAGAGGGAAATCAAAGCCTATGGAAACCCCTTTTTTACTCCCATAAACCAGTAACAGCAAAAATACATGCATGCCCATTGGTTTTCTGCCCCACTACCAAACTAGCCCGTTGCCCAGGGCAATCCATCAGGTTCTCACCAATGCCTTTGACACAGTGCATGACCAGATCAATCTCCTGTCCAGGCCGTAGCTGAGCAATGAGAATATCATCATGCACTGGTCGGATAGTACCCTCTGGGAAGACATCAGCCTGGTTCCCCAGAGGCACCCATGTCATGTGCCTGGTGTACACTGAAGGAAGAAAACATGTCTGAAACTTCAGCCCCTAAAACTGTGCCCTTCCAGCAGGCAGACTCTCTTCCTCACCTTAGAACTGCTCACCTTTGTGGTTTACATAGAGTTCATTGGGGTCTGAGGAATCTTTAGAAGCATGGGGGTTTCGAGTACACCTGACTTGCAGCCGGAACTGGAGTGTATCTATTTCTGTGCCTTCTTCATCTTCTGCATAAATCCAAAAGGAGGAAGAGGTGATCTTAGAGAGCTAGTAACATCTGAGTGCCAGGCACTGCTGAGAGCTTTATATACATTTCTCATTTAGTCCTCTTGACAAACTTATGAAACAGGTACTATCTTCCATTTCAGATGGAAAACACTGGGGTACCAAAAGACTATGTTAGGTTCCCCAAGGACAGATGGAGGTTTTGAGCCGAGGCAGTTTGATCCCAGACTCTAATTGCAGAGAGAGGTACCCTCGTTTTCCCAAACGTTCACCTTGGTTCCGATACTCAAAAAGACGAGGATCTGCAAGAATGGGAATGAGCCCCAGCCGATGAGCAAGAATCTCATCCTGGACAATGGACGTGTTGTTGTACACCAGAACTTTTTCCACAGCCATGGTTGGCACCTGCCCAAGAAAACGGAATCACCCATCTGCAAAGATCCAATAGGCTCTTCATTCCCACCCCTTGCCAGGGTGGGAGTTATAAAGAATAACTAGAGAGAATATCCACCAAGTTTGCAGGAAAAACATGGTGGGGTCATCTGGCCATGCTTACATTCAACAAGTAAGGTGATACCATGGTTTCCCACACAACCCTACCCTTGCCACAATGCCCACCAATACCTCAGCTAATAGAATGCGTCGAAAAGCATTAGCAATGGCTGCATCGATTCCCACCATGTCAAACTCCAGTGAGTTTTCATCCATGTGTACCACATCTACACGGAAATTCTAAAGGAACAGGAAAAACTGAGTCTCTCCACACTCCTCCCCACCTCCAGATAATTCCCCTAATGTATTAACATCCCCTCATCCAAAAACCTCCCCTAGGCCCAGATGTTCCTCTCCCCGCCAATCTTTTCTTAGTTTCTTAAAAGTCCCTGTTTTTTATCTGCCACTCATTCATAACCCTCTGCAATCTGCTTCCTGCCAAACTATGCCACAGAGGTCATCCCACTTGCATACGGCTTAGTCTAAGTGACACTACTCAATTCTCATCTTACTGGAATCCTCCCCTACAGATGGAATTTTTTTTTAATAAAATCTTTCCTTTTTAAAATGACTCCCTTGGTTTCTGAGCACCATTTTCTAGTTCTCTTAGCATTTCTTCTAAATTCACTATCCTACCCCATCCCCCTGGGGAGCTCTGGTAGCATAGTGCCTAAAGGCACTTGACTGCTAACCAGAAGGCTGGTGGTTCAAACCCACCAGCCACTCCTCGGAAGGAAGATGGGGCAGTCTACTTCTGTAGTGATACTGCCTCAAACCCAAGGAGGGGTCATTATGAGTTGGGTCTGACTCGATGGCACATAACAACCCATCCCCTTGAGGTGTGGTGGCATAGTGCCTGAGGCATTTGACTGCTAACCAGAAGGCTGGCGGTTCAAGCCCACAAGCCACTTCTCGGAAGGAAGCCTGGGTAGTCTACTTCTGTAGTGATAATGCCTTGGAAACCCAAGGAGGGGTTGCCATGAGTCAGATCCAACTCAACAGCAGTGGGTGGGACCCATCCCCTAAATGTTAGTATTTCCCAGGTTCTTGTCTCTCTAGGAGATTTGATGGCACACTGGTTAAGGCACCTGGCCGCTAACCAGATGGTTGGTGGTTCAAACCAGCCAGCCACTCTGTGGAAGAAAGATGAGGCAGTAAAGATTTACAGGTTTGGGAACCTGTGAGGCAATTCTACTCTGTCCTATATGGTTGCTATGAGATGGAACTGACTCGGTGGCAGTGGGTTTGGTTTTGGCTTGTCTGTCTCTTGGGTGACTTCAGCCACACATGGTTTTAGCGATTAACCTATATACTCACAACTACCAAAATTATATCTCACCTCTGATCTTATTTCATACTCTTCTAGCCTGCTAGACTTCTCTACATGGCAGAAAACTAAATGCATCATCATTCGTCTTCCCCAGATCTATTCCTCCAATATAATGACATCACCATCCATCAAAGTTCCCTAAATCACATTATTTTACACTTAACCCCACACAGCCCATATCAAATCATCAGTTTTGCCCTTTACCCCCTTTTTCCTCAGTATCTTGCAATCATAGCCTGAAATCATCCTTCAATCTCAGCACCCCTATGCAAACTGCTTGCCTCATAATATCATCCTCAAATTCATTCTCTCCCAACTATCAGGGTTGAAAATCTTACCAAGTCTGCTTAAAAACTCTTCAAAAATTACCTATCACCTGCAATGGCTAAAAAACACTCCAATCTTGTCTACTACTCATGCTGGTTCACTTTACATTCTAGCAATACTGAACTGCTTGGACATTCCAGGAACACACCTCATGCCGTATCATTCAGCTCACGTTCCTTTGTCTTCAGACTTACCTGTTCACAACTTATATTCCTCGTTCAAGGCTCAATTCAGATGTCAACTCCTTCTGGAAACTCCATACCTCCTCCCACATGCTTATCCTGTGTTTACCGTTTACAACTTCCTTACTACGTTAGACTGGAATAATTTCCTTACCCGTGCTCTTCTCCAACAAGAATGAACCGTCTGTAAAAACGGCGTAGAAACTAATTCGGTCTAGTACACGCAGCGCCTAGCACATTGCTGGGATGGGAACATGCATGGCTCAGTAAATGTTTTATGATTCAGGAAACTAGCCCTAAGAGCACTCCTGAAGCGCAGGCTGCTCAGATCACACGGTCCATCTCACACTCTCCAGACACCTCCGTCTGCACCCATCTTCTCCTACCCTAGTCACTTCCCTCCCAGTATTTCCAGTCTTTTTTCACCTTCTCGAAGCGTTCCTGGTCCCAGGCATCATCATAACCGGAATAGTTACCAGGGAAGTCGGTGGTATGAACCTACAGCAAGAGAAATGAGTGTGTCCACAAAGCAGCAGCGAGGCCGAGCCCTTCCCCACTCTGGCCCCATCTCATTGTTGTTCCGCTCTCTTCTCTCTGGAGTTCAAGGCCACAAGACTTACATTGCGAACCCCGAACTCTCCTAGAACCACGCGGCTCCGCATTTCTTCCACCGCCCGGGCCGCCGCCATATTCAACTGTACCACGTGAATAAAACGTAAAACTGGTGTGTGCGATTTTGTAGGGCCCACCATCTCCTTGGCAACGCACCCGCGCCTGGAACATTAAGTATCGCGAGAGTTTCCCGCGCCTGTCCACGTCCCCAGCTTCCGTAAGCCAGTTTGAGCCAAACATCCGGGTGTCTTCTTTTTGCGTTCCGGTTGATCCCATCTCGCTTTCTCGCCCCTGGACATCTCCCTCCCTCAGGCCCACGTCTCGCCCACTTCTCCGCGCGCGGGATAGCGCGGGCTTCAGCGACGGGAGCCCTCGAGGGACATGGCAGCTACGGCGGCGCCCGCCGGCGGCGCCCAAAACGGGACTGGCCCGGAATGGGGAGGGTTCGAAGAAAACATCCAGGTAATGACCCCAGAGCTCTGGGTGCCAGCAGCCTCAGTGCTAGTGGCAATCCTGAACTGTCTTGGGAGCTCTCCCTCGGAGCCTAGAAGTCCGCTCTTAATCTCGGTTCCATTTGGTTCAGTTGCAGCACATCTTAGTAAGCACATTGCAGACGGTGAGATTAGTGCTGACCTGAAAGGTCCAGAATGATAGATACTCCAGCCGGAGGGCTTCAGGTCTCTGGGCCTGCCCGAGGCATTAGAAAGAGTGTGCTCTTGCTTTGGGAACATGTTGGCAGATAGGCCACAGTCAGGCATGACGGGAAAAGGAGACTCTCTAGCAGTGGCTGTAAACACTGTATGCACAGATGTGTCTTGGTCTTGTAAAATACAAAGGAAATGGACACTTTGAGAGTTTGATAGGGAAGATATGAGAAAGATGTGAGTGGAAAACCGATAGGTTCCGCAGGCTAAAAGAGAGCCAAAGGGACCCGCGAGTTCTGAGAGCAAAATGAGAGGGATCGAGTGGTAGGCTTTGTGGTGATCCCAAGCCATATGCCCAGCAGTGGAAGAACAAAACCCAAACGCTGCATGAGCAGAGGAGGACTTAGCTGATGGAATAGAAAGGTCCAGCACTTCAGGAGCCTGTGTTTTCACAGAGTGGGGGTTCAGCTGTGATTGACATGGAGAACATGGATGATACTTCAGGCTCCAGCTTTGAGGATATGGGTGAGCTGCATCAGCGCTTGCGTGAGGAAGAAGTCGATGCTGATGCAGCTGCTGCTGAAGAAGAGGATGGAGAGTTCCTGGGCATGAAGGGCTTTAAGGGACAGCTAAGCCGGCAAGTGGCTGATCAGGTAAGTAAGACTGGATCCCTGGCAAGTTGAAAAGTACATCTAGGCAGGCCCCAGGTTCTAGAGTTGGTATTGGTGAAGCCCATCCCAAGTTACACAATTAGAACCATGTAGAGATCAAACAGAAAAATAGGCAACAGGTGCCAGAGCCAAGAGTCTCAGAATACCCATCCTCCTACTCTCATCTTCCTTGCTTCAGATGTGGCAGGCGGGGAAGAGACAAGCCTCCAGGGCCTTCAGCTTATATGCCAACATTGACATCCTGAGACCCTACTTTGACGTGGAACCTGCCCAGGTGCGAAGCAGGTAAGGATCCTTCTCCTGACAGAAACTGCCCTCCTAACACCTAATCTTTCATCCAGCCAACAACCAGATACGAAGCCATCAGTACCTCTGCTCTCAAGATCTCACTACCCCGTCATTGCACCTTGTAGCCCAGACACACCATACCTTTACAACATGGTGCTAACACATTTCCTTCTTCCTTTCCTCCATCTAGCAGACTCATCTTCCCTCAAAACCTGACTTCCTTTGTTCCCCATTCTTCACTTCCATCCCCCATTTGTCTTCTGGTGCACCTATAGAACTCTGCATTTCCTCCTAATAGATAGCATGTCAGCACTGCTGTATTTTCTTCGACTCTCCAGAGACCGACAGTTCCTTGAGAGTAGGCTCTTTCTTGTTTATCTCTTTATTTCCCACACCAGAACAGTCTGTAAACCAGAACATCAATGTATAGTTGTTGAATGACTATTCAAGAACTTTGGTTCCCTGTCCTTCAATTTAATGCTTATCGTATACCCCCGACCATTCAGCAGACATTTATTGATCATATTTATTTATTAAGCATAGCACTATGCTTGCTGTGTCTGATTCAGTGGCAAAGATAGATGGGAGCATTGTCCTGGTGTGCATTTACAAGACAGCTCACGTATACTATGATTGAGACACAGGAGGGACACTAGACCCAGGGTGGGCTGGGAAATGGTACAGGGCAGGTATCCCAGAGGAGCCAAATTAAACTAAAATCCAATGTATTAGAAGCTAGTCACTTAAAAAGAGAGCAGGGGAGTGACTTCTACTTTCATTCCTTCTGCCTGGAATTTTCATACTTTAAATAGATTTTTCAAGAAAATGCCTAGTGGTGGTTAGAGGAATGGTAAGCAGAAAGAGACAAGAGGCACACTGTTTCCCTCAGGGCTTCTAGGCCTTTCCCAGGGCTTCACTGTCACAGCCCTGAATGCTGGGTATTCTCTGCTGAGCTTTGCCTGCTTTAAAGAGGAGCAAGCCAGATAGGTCAGTTGTCAGGCCCTCCCCCAAGGCCCAACTGGGTTCCCTGAATTCTCTATATTGTTGCTGCTTCAGTCAGCACAGTGCCAGAGGAATGCCCTCTCTGGAAGTACATTTAGGGGAAGTGTGTCCCCCCTCCCCTGTCTGTCTTTATTACTGTCTTCTCCAATTATCCAGGACATCTTTTGAGCAAGGCCCTGTGTTCTGGGATTAGAGAGATGAGTAAGACTCAGCCTTGACCCCCCCAAAACCTCACAGCCTAGTGCTGCCTCTGCTCTCATCTCTCTCCTCTCCCAGGCTCCTGGAGTCCATGATCCCTATCAAGATGGTCAACTTCCCCCAGGTGAATAGGGAGTGGCATGTCTGGAGAGCTGGGGGGAAGCCCAGGGCAGAGGGTGGGGCCAGCAGGCAAGCCTAGGAAGGCTTAAATAGGAAGGCCATGGTACCTTCCAGCCTGAAAGAGTTGTTATGTTGACAGAAAATTGCAGGTGAACTCTATGGACCTCTCATGCTGGTCTTCACACTGGTAGCCATCCTCCTCCATGGGATGAAGACATCTGACACCATTATCGTAAGCAGAGCAGAGGACTTTGGGGGGTGGCTGAACTAGGTTGAAACCTGCCTAAGGAGAGGATGATGACGTGAGGCAGGAGCAGTCCTTGAGGAAGACCCTGAGTGAGCCTGAGATGATAGGCCTCTCAGGGCTAAGCAGAGCCTTCACCCCACAGCGAGAGGGCACCCTGATGGGCACAGCCATTGGCACCTGCTTTGGCTACTGGCTGGGCGTCTCATCCTTCATTTACTTCCTTGCCTACCTGTGCAACGCCCAGATCACCATGCTCCAGATGCTGGCACTTCTGGTAAGGAGCCAGGCGTAGTGGTGGGCACGGGTGATCCTAAAGATTGAGTAGTAACCAGGCCTTGGGGTGCATGTGTCCTGACTCCACAGGACCCTAGGGCCTGGAATAGGAGGAGCTGGCCAATGTACCCTTTATTACCAAGAGTCTCCATGAAGAGCCAGAGGTCAACCCAGCCTGAATGCTTTTCCTCTCCACCATCCTCCTTCCTAGGGCTATGGCCTCTTTGGGCACTGCATTGTCCTGTTCATCACCTATAACATCCACCTCCATGCCCTCTTCTACCTCTTCTGGCTGCTGGTGGGTGGGCTGTCTACCCTGCGCATGGTAAGCTGGGCAAGGGGTTTTCAAGAGTGGGCTGTCTTCCCAGGGACTTGGGGGAAGACAACCCAGTGCTGAAGTGGAACCCCATGAAGGGTTCTGAATGGGTGGGAAAAGTCCAAGGTGGTTGTGCCCTGGGTGGGGTGTCTGCTCCTGGGGCCAGGCCTCTGAGCTCTAATCCCGTGGGCCTAGGTGGCAGTGTTGGTGTCACGGACCGTGGGCCCCACGCAGCGGTTGCTCCTTTGTGGCACCCTGGCTGCCCTGCACATGCTCTTCCTACTCTATCTGCATTTCGCCTACCACAAGGTGGTAGAGGGTAAGTGACAGAAGGGTTGGGGTGGGGGTGAGGGTGGGTGTGGACAGCTGCCAGGGGTGGGGGCTGGGTTAAGACAGCCTGTGGGAAAGCTCACTTTCCTTCACCCTTCTTTCAGGGATCCTGGACACGTTGGAGGGCCCCAATATCCCGCCCATGCAGAGAGTCCCCAGAGACATCCCTGCTGCGTTCCCTGCTGCTAGGCTTTCCGCCACCATGCTAAACGCCACAGCCAAGGCTGGTGCAGTGACCCTGCAGTCACATTGACCCCACCTGAAATCCTTGGCTGGTCCCCTCTTCCTCAGCTGCAGAGAGGAGGAAGATTAAAGGACAGTACTGATGACATGTGTCTCTTTGATGGGGTCTCCAGCTGCCACAGAGCTGTAGCTGCTTAAGCACTTTTTTGCCACCTGCTGGGGGCTTCTGAACCCCTGGCCAGGACTGCAGGCTCTGCAGCCAGTGCAGAAAGTGGGTCAGCTCCTTTGAGGCCCCTCACCACCTACCCCTTCCTCCTTCTTTCTCTCTCCCACATTGTGTTGCTAAATATAGCCTTGGTAATTAAAATATTCATTGAAGTCTGGAACTGCAGCTACCATTCAAGTGGTACTGCCTGCCATTCTACTTCCTGTACACACAGTCGAGCTGTCAGCATTGATAATGCTACCTGGTCCCTTCTTAAACCCTCTACCCAGGCAGCATGAAGGTGGGACAGGCCAGAGTACATAGGAGGCAGTGTTGCCTGTGGAACCTGCCCTGAGGGCAGGGGACACTGACTGACCCATGGAACAGCAGGAGGCCTCAAGCACAAGAACCACAAACCTGGTGGGAGAGTGTATCCACAGCTCTTGGAAGCCAATAGAGTAGTGACAATCAGAAACTTCCACCAAACCCCCATCATTCAAGGCCTTTATGCACCTGGGTCATTCTATAGGAATAGTTTCCCTGTGGGAGCTCATATTTGAAGCAAAACTTGGCTTTGCCCTGGTTATAAGGTCAAGAAACAAAGCTCCATTCAAGTGTTTCCTCTGTTTCTTTTTCAAGAGTGCTATTACTTTAAGAAACAGAACAAACTTACCATAGCATTGTCCACCCTAGTCATGGGCTTTAATCTTCATTTATCTCCATTGAAGGAGTTAATTTCAATGGTTAAAAGGAGAAAATAGGGCCTTTGAATGCCCTATGTTCGTATTTTTTTACTTGTGTTAAAAGACTTCTGGTGGCATAGTGGGTAAGGCATTTTGGCTGCTAAGCATAAATAAGATCCATAGTTTGAATTCAGCAGGTGCTCCCTGGAAGGGGAGGATGATAAAGCAATATGCTTCCATAAAGATTTATCAGCCTTGGAAACCCAAGGGGTCATTATGAGTTAGAATTGACTCCATGGCAGTGGTTTTGGTTTGATCATTATCCAGGTAAATCTGGGTCAGTAGCATCTTTTCCTTCTAATAAAGGAGCTAACAGAGATGCCTTTAATTTGTCCTAAGTTATGCAAGTGAGGCCACCACCATCACCACTGGATGAAGTTTTAATAGTACTGCCCAAGGTTCAGCAAGCCCCAGCCCATCCCCCTGACTCCAGGTCATGGATCCTAGCGCCCCCGGGGAAATAGCTCCTGAAGCCTCCATCTACCTGGGGCGCACTGCTTTGGGGACCCTTTGAGGTTCCCTAGTGCCTGACAGCTCAGGCAGCCTCTGCCAGGCAGTACTCCCAGGTCCTTCGCTCCAGGCTGCCATTTTGGCGAGTGGCAGGAGTGGAGTCCTCGCGGACCGAAGTCCCCACGCACGCAGCGCCTCGCGTCACAGGAACTAGGAAGCGGGGGGGGGGGAAGGGCAAAGGATGGAGTGGGGTCGGCAGGAAAAGGGGCTAAGGGCTGCAAATGGTTAAGGAGGACGTGTCCTGCATCCCGGTGGAAACACCTAGAATCTGGACCTCAGCACTGAGAAACCACGCGAGAATGAGGAGAAGAAACCAGTAATGGTGTCAAACTGCATCCCCACTTGAGTACTCATTTCTCCCTCCTTATCCCTACTCCTCAGCCTCGCTGCCTTCTTTTTACCTGTAGTCTGACCCCATGGCAGGGAAGGGCGTCCACGCTGCTCCGAGCTCCTTGCCCGGAAACACTCGGTGTCCGCGAACCTCGTGGGCCTTGATGGCCTAAGCCACCAGTGGGCGGAACGAGCGGCCGTGACGCGACCGTTGCCATGGGAACAAGCCG